CGAGGGCAGCTAATTCTAGAGCAGTGTCAGACACAATCCCCCCCGCCCCCGTACCCTCCCCAAGGACCCAGTTCCCGTGTCCCTCACTCCCCCGTGTTCCCATCCCCCACCAAACTACAAGGCCCCATGGATTCCTCCCGTCCCCTGCAGCCCCCGAAGTACCCCGGGTCCCGTGCCCCCCCGAGGGAGCAGAGGGGGGCTGGGAAGCCTGGACTGTGGGGCTGGCTATGGAAGGGAAGTGACTGTGGCGCTTTGCCTAGTTGCCCAATTCCTATCCCCTCCCTCGTTTCCTCCTCGCGGTATTGCCACTGGCTCCCACGCCCTGACTCCCAGCTAGCGTCCGGCCCCCGCCCTGGGGGTGCTGGGCAGGGTAGCTGCAGTTCCTGGAAGCCACATGCCCAGCCCCACGGCCCAGAGATGTGGCTGCTGCCGGGACATCCAGCCCTGCTGCTCCTGGCTGGGATCCTGGGTGGAGGTGGGTGTGATCGGTCAGCATTGAATCTCCAGGGCGGGGGCCCTTCTCCTGGTCTCCTGGGTTCCCCAGGGACCAATCTCCCCTGGGCCCACCTGCCCCAGGCTTCCAGCTTCCCTGAAGGCTCATCTTCCCCTGGTCTCCCCAGGGGCCCATCTCTCCTGGCCTCCTGGTTTCCCCAAGGACCCATATTCCCCAGCATCCCTAGGGGCCCATCTCCCTCAGCCTCCCTAAGGGCCCATGTCTCCCGGCCTCCTGGCTTATGCAAGGACCCATCTCCCCTGGCCTCTCTAGGGGCCCATCTCCCCCGGCCTCCTGGCTTCCCCAAGGGCCCATCTCCCCTGACCTTCCAGTCTCTCCAGGGGTCCATCTTCTGTGCAGCCTCCCTCAATGCCCATCTCCCCTCGCCTCTCGGCTCTCCCAGGAACCTACATTTCTTGGCCTCCCTTCCTGCTGCAGAAGGGCTGAGCTTGACCAGAGCCAGCAGCAGCTGCTTGGGAGGAGGGTGAGGGTGTGACCTGGATTCTGCAGAAATTCCCCCTTGCCCCATCACTCCTGCCCTGAAGCCATGAGACTGGGCGTGCGGGTGGGTGTGTGGGGACATCACACCCCAAACTCTGGGGCTGGTAAGCTTTGCTCTACTGTAGCCCGCAGCCAAGTAAATATCTGCATTTGCCGAAATCCAGTGGCAGGCAGCTTCCCCAGACTAAGAAAACATTGAGCTCTTTAGAATCCACTTACACTGAGCCTTTCCCTGATCCCAGCCGGGTCTGGGCAGCACCTGGCCCCACGGGGCCTGATCCCAGCCGGGTCTGGGCAGCGCCTGGCCCCACAAGGACTGATCCCAGCTGGGTCTGGGCAGCGCCTGGCCCCACGGGGCCTGATCCCAGCCGGGTCTGGGCAGCACCTGGCCCCACAGGCCCTGATCCCAGCCGGGTCTGGGCAGCGCCTGGCCCCACGGGGCCTGATACCAGCCGGGTCTGGGCAGCGCCTGGCCCCACGGGGCCTGATACCAGCCGGGTCTAGGCAGCGCCCTGCAGAAGGGAGCCAGTCACAGTCTCCAGGCACTACCGCAAGACACAGCACTAATACTGATTGACAAATCCTGCCTTCGCTATTGCCCAGGTCTGGGGTGGTCCTGTCAGTGCTCTGTTGGCTATGGGACCCTGGCAAGGCGTGGTGACAGGAGCATCTCTCCGGGTGTCTTTTCAGCCACTGCCCAGGATCCCCGGTACCGTCTGGAGCAGCCCGAGATCCTGGCGGCACCGACCGGGGGCTCCATCACCCTGCCCTGCACGTTAATCTACCCCCCCGAGATCGAGCTGCTGCGGGAGGTCCGGGTTTACTGGAGGCGAGGGGGTTTCCATGGCGATTTCGTGTACAATCACACTGAGGGGTTCACCCGCTGGGATTACCGGGGCCGCATCGCACTGGTCGGGAACCCGGGGGAGAGACCGAAGCGAACGGCCTCGATCCGCATCGACCGGCTGCAGGCGTCGGACACCAGCGAATATGTCTGCCAAGTCTGCGTGCAGTTGCAGAACGGCACATGGATCCCCTGGCGCGCTCTGCCAGGAACCCGCCTCACAGTGACAGGTTGGGGGTGAATCCTGGAGGGGCTTCCCCCATGTCTCCTTCCCCCATCCTCACACCTCTGTGGCCGGAGCTGCTGCCCTGGTGAACTCCCCACCCCCAGCAGTGGAGCCCTCTGTGTTCCTGGCTCCTGCAGCCCTCACCCAAACTCCGGGGGCAGCCTCTGGCTCCCTTCCCAGCCCCTGCTGCGTCCTCACCCACTCCCTCGCCCCCTTCTCCTGGGGCCCCCTTTCTAGGTCCAGTCCCAGGCCTCGGCCTGAAGGAGCAGGGTGGGTTGGTGTAAAAATGTGTGCGCCAGGATGACTGTCCATGTGTGTGAGCTCCATGTCAGTGCCTGAGTGTGCATGTGTAAAAGTGTCAGCCCAAGCCTTGGTTTACGTGCAAGGATGGTGTGTGCAGACATGCATGTACCAACATGTGCCTGTGCCAAAGGGAGTGTGTGTCGGGGTCTGTGCAGGGCTGGGGGTGTCTGGGCGTGGGATGCACAAGTGTGTGATCATGTGTGCGAGGGCACGTGCACTCTTGGCGCTGTAGCTCCATGACAGAAATCCGATGGGCCCATCATGACAGGCCTGTGCATACCCATGCTTGTGCTAGGCTCCACACAGCATCGCCCCAGGCTGCAGGGAGAGGCGGAAACCCTGCCAGGGTCTGTGCCAGTCAGAGCCAGGGGCAAATTCCTGCCTGACCAAATAGGGCGGTCAGTGAGACCCTGGCCATGTGGGCGACACCCCCCAGCCACAGCCCTGGGAAGGGATTCTTCGCACGGACTCCGAGCCCGCCCCCCCGGGTGCCCTGCCTCTGGCCGCAGGGCCATTTGCTTCTGGCAGCCACAGCCGGGCCGCATGCCACTCCTAGCAGCCCTGTCACGCGCTGTCTTGAGGCCAGTTGCTGTTTTGCCCTGCCCCAGAATTTTGCTTCTCGCGAGGCAATTTGTGTCCATTTGTTTTTGTGCCAGAATCGGCCTGGAGCTTAAATAACTCTGTTCCCTGCCTGGGCTCATTCCTTCAACAGCTTTATTGGGAGGTGTCTGCTCTCCCCACAGCCTTGCACTCCTCTGGCAGGCTCTCCGTTCCCCGGGTCTGCCCCAGCCTGGCTCTGCCCCGGCCACTCTGGCCATCGCTACCCACCACAGGACAGCCGGAACCGGGGAGATATCAGCCCTCCCTGGCTTTCGTGCTGCACAGCACACAAAAGCCAGCAAGTGCATGTGCGTGTGTGCGTGCATGTGTGTGCCCATGCTGAATGTGCAAAATCCAGAGCATATGTGTGTGTGCTTAATGTGCGAGAGCAGTGTGTCTGTGTGCACTGAACATGAAAGAACAAAAAAAAAAGTGTTTCCGTTAAAAGTATTTGTGCAAGAGAGCATCTATACTGGCATGTGCCTTTGCGCAAAAGATTTGCTTTTGCGCAAAATCATCTGGTCCAGTGTAGACGCTCTCTTACGCAAGAAATCTCTGATGGCCATTTTAGCCATTGGGCTTTCTTGCGCAACAAATTGATGTTACCTGTCTACACTGGCCTCTTGCGCAAGAACACTTGTGCAAGAGGACTTATCCCTGAGCGGGAGCATCAGAGTATTTGCGCAAGAAGCACTGATTTCATATAGTAGAACATCAGTGTTCTTGTGCAAATACTCATGGCCAGTGTAGACAGGCGGCAAGATTTTGTGCAAAAGCTTGCCAATGTAGACACAGCCCCAGTGTTTAATCACCCGGACTACTAGGAAGTTTTTCCCTAATGTCCAACCGAAATCTCCCTTCCTGCAGTTTAAGCCCATTGCTTCTTGTCCTATTCCTCAGAAATCAATTTATCTCTCTGCTCCCTCACACACCTTTTTAGATTCTATACCTATATCTCATAGAGCTGGAAGGGACGTTGAGAGGTCATTCAGTCCCCTGCCCTCATGGCAGGACCAAGTACCATCCCTGACAGATTTGCCCCCGATCCCTAAATGGTCCTCCTCAAGGATTAAGCTCACAACCTGGGTTTAGCAGGCCAATGCTCAAACCCCTGAGCTATCCCTCCCCCCTTAAAACCACTGTCATGTCCTCTCTCTGTCTTTTCCTTTCCAAACTAAACAAGCCCAATTCCTTCAGCCTTGCCTCATAGCTCATGTTCTCTAGGCCTTTAATCATTCTTGTCGCTCTTCTCTGTACCCTTTCCAATTTCTCCACATCTTTCTTGAAATGCGGTGCCCAGAACTGGACACAGTACTCCAACTGAGGCCTAATCAGCACAGAGTAGAGCGGAAGAATGACTTCTTGTGTCTTGCTCACAACACTCCTGTTAATGCAGCCCAGAATCATGTCTGCTTTTTTTGCAACAGTGTCACACTGATGACTCATATTTAGCTTGTGGTCCACTCTGACTCCTAGATCCCTTTCTGCCGTACTCCTTTCTACACTGTTGCTTCCCAGTCTGTGCATGTGAAACGGATTGTTCCTTCCTAAGTGAAGTACTTTGCATTTGTCCTTATTAAACTTCATTCTATTTACCTCAGACCATTTCTTCAGTTTGTCCAGATCATTTTGAATTATGACTCTATCCTCCAAATCACTTGCAACCCCTCCCAGCTTGGTATCATCTGCAAACTTAATAAGTGTGCTCTCTATGCCAATATCTAAATCGTTGATCAAGATATTGAGCAGAGCCGGTCCCAAAACAGACTGCTGTGGAATCCCCCATTTATACCCTTCCAGCATGACTATGAACCATTAATAACTACTCTGAGAACAGTGATAGAAATGTAGCCGTGTTAGTCTGGTGTAGCTGAAACAAAAGACAGGACTATGTAGCACTTTAAAGACTAACAAGATGGTTTATTAGATGATGAGCTTTCGTGGGCCAGACCCACTTCCTCAGATCAAATAGTGGAAGAAAATTGGCACAACCATATATACCAAAGGATACAATTAAAAAAAAAAGAACACATATGAAAAGGACAAATCACATTTCAGAACAGAAAGGGGATGCGGGGGGGAGGGGGAAGGAAGGTAAATGTCTGTGAGCTAATGATATTAGAGGAGTGGCACTTCAGACTGGAGTGGCATGGCTAGTCACAACCCACCGCC